AGGGAAAGGGAGAAAGCAAGCCGCAGGCCCAGGACTCGAACCACGGTCAGCCATGTGGGAGTCCAGTGTCTCAACCACCATACCACCTTCCAGCCCCTGATTTTCCTTTATACAATAAGTACAGAATGAAAACCTAAATGTAAGATGAACTGTAGAAAATAGTAGCTTCTTTTATGAAGTTGACAAAAACAAAAACAAAAACAAAACCCTCCTGTATGGTTTTATTTGAAAATAGCCGCAAAATCAGTAAATAGATATACTATTTGCAATTTTAACATAAAATATTTTCAAGATGTAATTAGTAGTTAGTTGTGATAACCACGTGTTATGACGCTGCATTACGGTAGGGCGTAAAGTGAGTTTGGGCCCATTTATATTTATCAGTTTCTGGTGAGCATCTTATGAACTGTCAGGCAAATGTGCCAAATGATCACAGCTGGTTTTTGTTTTTGTTTTGTTTTTTTCCTCTCCAGGTACCTTCACTCAAATAACATGGTTGTGGTTCCAGAAGGTAAATGCTCTTGCTATTTTCATTCGAATATACTTTATAAACTTGGCTGATAGGTAGAACGCTCTGTCTCCTTAAGTCTACTTTTGCTTCGTATATTAGGAAAGTTTTAAGAAATTATTTTATTCAATTTCATTTTTTCATTCATTTATTTTAATTTGACCAGAGAGACATAGAAAGAGGAAAGTGAGAAAGTAAGCCACCAAGTCCGGGACTCGAACCATGGTCGGCCATGTGAGAGTGTCCAGCACCTTAACCACCATGCCACTTGCTGGTCCCCAGGAAATTTTTTTTTTTTAAGAGATTTTTGCTAGAGGGCATGTGCACTCACCAGAGGGACACAGAGACAGAAAGCAAGAAATCACCCCGTAGAGGGATGGCCACGCTGCAATCCCTTGTCCTCCTTTCTCCTCTCAGGATTTTGGGCACGCACACACAGTGTGAGTTTTAAGCCACTGGGTCCAGGACTCAAACCATGTTTGACTATGTGGGAGTCCAGCAACATAACCATTATGCCATCTGCTGGTCTCTTTTTTTAGATTTTTGTCAGAGGGTATGTCTATTCTCTGGAGAGAGACAGAGAGGGAAAGTGAGAAATCATCCTCCAGGGGGATAGTCATGCCACAGTCCCTTCTCCTCCATTCTTCTCTCAGATTTTGGGAACACACACGCACACACACACACACACACCCAGCATGGTTTTCAAGCTGCCGTGTCCAGGACTTGAACCGTGCTGTCGGCCATGTGAAAATCAGTGCCTTAACCATCACGCCACATATTGGCCCGGGAATTTTAATCTAGGACATCTTTTACTTACTAGCTTTGAAACGGATTCCCCTTAATAAGTCTAGTAAAGAATTCTGATTCAATAAATAATGAGTCTAAAATGGTTATGATGATTAAATTATTAGTAGGTAAATTGCTGTTAGGTAAAAAATAGAATAAGTTCTAAATTTAGCAAATCCAGTTAAGAATTTTGGTTAGAGGCTCAGTGGTTGTAGGGTACACTGGTTTATGCTGCTACTGGGCAGACTGAAGCCACTGGGCAGACCCAGGTTTGAGCCCCGGTCCACCCTAAAACATGGTACAGTTGGCGTGACTATAGCCCTAGCTACTAAAGAGACCAAGAGGATCATAATGGAGTGAGTTCCTGTTTAAAAAAACAAACAAACAAGGCTAGCAGGTGGCATGGTGGTTAAGGCAGTGGAATCCCACATGGATGACCATGGTTCAAGTCCTGGACCTGGTGGCTTGCTTTCTCACTTTCTCTCTGTCTCTCTCTCTGGTGAGTCCATGTGCTCTGTAGCAAAAACAAAACAAAACAAAACAAAAAAGATGATAAATAAAAATAAATAATTATTTAAAGCAAACAAGACAGACCTTATCTCATTTTTGAATTATTTATTTAATCAAGCAATTTTTTATATTGTTGTAATGCTTTTATTCATGTACTTTCTAAGGTTATTCTATTTTTATCTCAAGATAGAAGTTTTTATTATTTCCATAAAACTTAGTTTGAGCTCTCTTTTGACTACTTTGTGAAGAATCGAGGTATGAATGTGAAGTTACTGAAATATCAGAACTTTGGGAGCCAGCAGGTGACATGGTGGTTAAGGTGCTGCACTCCCACATGGCTGACCATGGTTCGAGTCCAGCTTGAAACTCACGCTGGGCATGCGTGCATGTGTGCCCAAAATTCAGAGAGGAGAATAAAGGAGAAGTGATTGTGATGTGGCCATCCCCTCTGAGGAGTGATTTCTCATTCTCTGTCTCTCTGGCTTTCTGATGAGCCCATGTGCCCTATGGCAAAAATCTCTCAAAAGAAAAGAGAAAAGAAAAGAAAAGAAAATTCCATAATTTTGAATACTTGCATGAACTATTTGGTTGTAACACTGGGGTCAAATTCATTTTGCCTTACCCCTTCTTTTCTCTTGGAAGCTATTGGGTCCCTCGTCAAACTCCAGTGTTTGGATCTCAGTGACAACGCCTTAGAGATCGTGTGCCCTGAAATCGGTCGTCTGAGAGCTTTACGACACCTCCGATTAGCAAATAACCACCTGCAGTTCCTCCCTCCAGGTAACCGTGGTCTGCAGCCCAGAGCAGCACCTTCTGTCCTAGCAGTGTGCTTTGACCATGCTTCTCTGTGTGTCTAGGTAGCCGGTGGTGGTCGTATTTGGGTATTTGATTGTGCGTGTGTTTGAAGATGCATGCAAAGATGGTGGATGACATATAACTAAAGGCCTCTCTCTGGATACACATGAAAGGTAGCATTTACATTTAATTTTATTGATTTATTTTTAAAGAATGATTCCATTTAATTTTAGCTATTCATTCATCCACTTTAATTTGACCAGAGAGAGGCAGAGAGAGGGAAAGTGAGAAAGCAAGCCACCAGGTCCAGGACTCGAACCGTGGTCGACCATGTGGGAGTGTCCAGTGCCTTAACCACCACGCCACCTGCTGGTCCCGGATTTATATTTTAGACAGGATTACAGTCGCAAAAGGCTTGTGTTATGTTCAATACCCCTTCTGATCGCTGCCCTGGTGCAAAGTACAGAGAGTTAATTCAGTTTGAATTTCACAGAAGAGAATGTAGGTGAACTTTGCACGGTAAAATTATTTTAGTATCCAAATACCTACGGTATTTTTGCTCCTTCATGAGAGAACAGAGGAATAACTTGGGTGTAATAAGGTTGCAAACTAGAATGTTACACGGGAGACCTTTGTTTTAGGGAGGTTTTTGCTATAGGACGTGTGTGCTCGCCAGAAAGACAGAGACAGACAGAAAGCGAGAAATCACCCCCAGAAGGGATGGCCATGCCACCATCCCTTCTCCTCCATTCTCCTCTCGGGATCTTGGGCACGCACGCACATGTGCCCGGTGTGAGTTTAAGCCACCAGGTCTGGGACTTGAATTGCAGTCGACTACATGGGAGTTCAGCAACATAGCCATTATGCCAACTCCAGGTCCAAGGAGACCTTTTTTAAGCGAGAAATCACCCCCAGAAGGGATGGCCATGCCACCATCCCTTCTCCTCCATTCTCCTCTCGGGATCTTGGGCACGCACGCACATGTGCCCGGTGTGAGTTTAAGCCACCAGGTCTGGGACTTGAATTGCAGTCGACTACATGGGAGTTCAGCAACATAGCCATTATGCCAACTCCAGGTCCAAGGAGACCTTTTTTAAAAAGTGTGAGTTCAGCAACATAGCCATTACGCCAACTCCAGGTCCAAGGAGACCTTTTTAAAAAAGTGTTATTTATTTTATTTTATTTATTTGTTATTAGTATTATTTTAATTTGCTTGAGGGCATGTGTGCTCACCAGAGAGAGACAGAGAGAGAGGAGGAAAGTGAGAAAGCAAGTTGCCAGGTCCAGGACTTGAACCGTGCTAAGCCAGGTGGGAGTCCAGCGCCTTTACCCACCACGCCGCCTGCTAGCCCCAGCATGGTTGACATTTGAGTCCTAGGGTTGGATCGTTAGTTTTGGCTTCCAGACGCCTTCCTAGACGGGACCATCCTGAAATCCTGCATTCTCTTGAAAGCAGTCATGAAACCCTTTGACTTTCCTGAGAGGGGCACCCAGAACTCTGCCATGAACTCTCACATTTGAGATTGCCAGTGTCCTTTATAATTTCCCATGGACATAACAAAGATAAAGGGGCATGGTGGTTAAGGTGTTGGTTAGGGTGTCTGGACCCCAGTTGGCCGACTGTGCTGCTCAAGTCCCTAACCCGGCAGCATGGAAAACACGCTGGGGGCGTATGCGTGCGTGTCCAAAATCCCCAGAGGAGAATGAAAAAGAAGGGATTGCAGCGTGGCCATCCACCTTGGGGGAAAGGGGTGCTGCCTTATTTTCTCTTTCTCTTTTCTCTCTCTCTGGTGAGAGCATGATGTGCACTGCAGCAAATTAAAAGAAGGCAGGCAGGCAGGAGTATGATTCAGAAAAGAAGAAAAAAAAGTGTCCCAACGGGAGTCCTGCTGCCCAGAAGGCTGAAACCATGTGGGAGACCTGGGTTCAATTCCTGGCCCACCCTAAAGTTGGTGGTGAGGCGCAGGCCTCTGGTCCCAGCTACCCTGGAGACTGGAGAGTGTCTAACACAGTGTAATCGCTACTAATCCACAGGATGTTCGGCTTTGGGTGTTAGCCTTGGGGGAAAGGGGTGCTGCCTTATTTTCTCTTTCTCTTTTCTCTCTCTCTGGTGAGAGCATGATGTGCACTGCAGCAAATTAAAAGAAGGCAGGCAGGCAGGAGTATGATTCAGAAAAGAAGAAAAAA